TTTGTTTGCTTGTTCGAATCGCCGTTTTCCCATGCTATTCGTGTATCGAAGTCTCCCGCTGGAATTGTATCAATATTAGCTAGCATGCCACTGCATTTATTTCGATTTTATAAACGCTGCTATAATTATACCGTTATTTACTCTGGTGTCATCCCATGTTCAATCAAAGCGTCAGTTTCTTCCGCGAAACTGGCAGCGAACTCTACCTCTTCTGCTGCCATTGCGTATATTGTGAGCTGCACACACCATTCGGGTTGGCATTTATCCGCCAAGTTGTCTCTGTCAGGTGGGTGGAGTTCTGTTTAAGTTAAAACACTGGTCGGGATACCTGGGCAAGTTTGCGGCGTCCTATTCACCTTGAGTCGGCCCCGCCCGACCTGAGAGCCCGTGGAGACCGGCGCGCTCCGGCGAAATCAATGCGCGCACAAGTTAGCGCGGCGCTTGCGACTGCAGTATTCAGCCGAGTTGTTTGCGCTGTCTGAGTGGCCCTAGTTGTGTGGGAGTTTAGGAGAGCAGTTCGGACCCTAGGGACGACAATTACGCCGCCTGAACGGATGTTGTAAACTCGAGAGGTATTGGCAGTGTGTTTCTGTCATTTCTTTTGCAAGGAACGATTGTTAAACTTGGCGCGTCAATTTTGGTTCGAGACGCGTGTTACAACTGTTCATTAAAACTGTACTCCAACTTCCAGACGTTTCTTAAACTTGGAAACAAAGTCTGGCTAAATACTGCTTTTCATATTGGACATCCTGTACGTATGTCTAGAATACCCGATGAAGAAATTGAAACACATATCTGGCATGACAGCAAATGCCTAAAACGTATACATGAAAACAAACTTGTTTATGGAGTTTCATGAGCAAGAAGCGTCTGTCGAAAAAAAATCACCGTGCACACGCTGTTCAAGTGTCGTCACGATTCCACCGTATTGCCTGTCGCCGTCTTGAGGTACAGCAACTCCAAATCTGTTGTCCTTTCCTGCAGGCTGTCGGCTGATCTATGTATGTAGCGCGTGTTGCGGACAGCGTTACAACGTCCCACCCCACTGACATTGCCTTATTTTGCCGGGCCCGGGTGGCGTGTCAGTCCGTTGGATGTTTATCACACGCGGCCCAATATCTCACCCTGCCGGATGAGAATGATCGCCGGCGGTTTTTGTGGGTGGTTTATTGCATCGTTATCACGCCAGAGCTGCGTCTGATGGGGGCTCTGGTGTGCGCCGCCGACCGGAACGGTACCATCTCAGTCGCTGAGCTCTGAGGCTGCTTGACGAGCAAGTTGAGCGCTGATTTAAGTGATGTTGTGAATTTTGGTCAAGCTACCGAAGGTGGTTGATGACCTGTGACGTCTTTCTGATCTGCAGTTAGGTGCAGTTAAGTCCAGGGGTTACGTTACAAAACACGATATGATATTCTTTACTTCTCAGCTAGTTCAAGCGTTACAGCGATGACTTCATGGTAGTGCTCGAATACGACCCATGTTGACAGTTAATCAGTCAGGACAGACGTTAATTAGAATCTGCCACGTCCCGGTGTCTCTCCAGTGACGTCCGACTGCGGTCGGTACCGACGCGTCGCTCCCCTGTCGGTACCGACGCGTCGCTCCCCTGTCGGCGACGACTCTGGTCGTCGACGGGGCCGTATTGGACGAGACCGGGACGTGACCCGAGTGCTGAGCCGAGTAGCACACCCCAGAGCGTCAGCGCTGTCCGCCGTGTACAGGATGGACGGAGACTTCACTCCAGGACACTCAATGACTCTTGTCTCACCTCCCATGCCCCGTTTTCTGTCCCTGTCTGCCGTCCCGGGCCGTGTCCCCGGGTCGGCCGCTCAGAGCGATCTGACGCCGAACTCCCCGGGGATGGGACGGCACCGATCTTGCTGGATTACCAGCTGAGCCTCCGCTGATAACATGGTGCCCGGTCCGGCGGACCTGCAGCAGACGCGGCGCTCTGTGAGCGGTTCAATGCTTGCGAAGAAAGTTTATAACTTGAAATTCGTAAGCTTCTATAAATTCATTGCTTTTTGCTTAGTTGCTAGTAAGTAGAAGTGTTTGAATAATTTAGAAGCCGTCGAATAACATGGCACCAGCAGCTAACTTATTATATTTTTCAGTCAAGTTATCAATATTTGCCACAGGGAATACTTCTCGTGGAGCATAATGTTCAACACATTTCCGAATTCGCACTGCATCGGCAACGTTACCGTCGTTCCCTTGTGATCAAAGACGTGAAAATTTGAACACCAATCAATCGAAGTTTGCATAAGTAACTGCCCTCCTTTCTGGTGATTGAAGTGTAAATCTACTCGTGGGAATTCAAACTTCTGAAAATGCTCGGGGCGTATTCCAAAGAACCCAATGAACTGCGAGAAGCGCCAATCGTAACTTCAGCCCGGCTGTCTGCCACTAATTCCCGTAGGCCATCAATTTCGCTGCTGAGCGCTCAGCCGTACCGGGGACTGGCCAAGTTCGGGGTCTGGCCGTGTGTCAGCCGCGTCGGAAGCTGCTCCATCAACGACGGGCTCGATACGTAGCTCATCGTGAGTTGCGCCATCAATCTCCATGGGTGTCGCAGGAGAGCGTGGCGGTGCCCACCTTACGACCCACCCGGGCGGAGCTGTCCCCGCGCATCATATTAGCATGAGTTTATGCGCCGCCGCATCGGAGGTCAGAATCCATCTTACTGGGCTGAGCCTTGGTGATGGTGACAGTGGCAGTGGTGGTGATGATGGCGCTGGTGACGGTAACGGTGGCGATGGTGATTGCGATAACGACAATCCTATTACCCTTTGGTAGCTGACTCGGCAGCACTGGGAGCTGGCGTGAAGCATTCGTCCATCGATCCCGATAATGATATCCCGTCCACCACACCGGGTCGTAGTGACGACCAGCTTCAGTGGAATATTTGAAAGGTATCACCATGGAGCTACTACACTGCTAGCCTGCCTTCAGCTTCTTTTCCTCCCCTGTTGGCGTAACTAACGCTCTCGTCGATTGCTCTCTTATTTATTTTATGTGTCTGATAGGAAAGTCATCCTTGTCGTATTGATGCGTCAGCGCCTGGTCCCATCGGTTATTGACAGTCAGCGCGAGACCATTGAGCCTCGCGACCTTCCCTGCACACATCCACCCCTCCTCTGACCAACTGCATTAAACACTATCGTTAGGCTGCATTATGAATCGATGTTTGCGCAACGACAGTGAGTAACGCGCTCGCCCGTTACACATTCATGCCGTTTTGGTCAGTGCGTATGACCGCCAGGCATGTCATTCTGGTGGTCCGTGGGCTCGCTGCAGCCGTGTCGGCCATGGAGGGTGTTTGGCCTGGCGCCGGCTCGTTCCATGCCAATTAGCGCGCTTGTCGCCGGTGCTGTGTGGGCGGCTGTACGCGGGGCGGGGCGTGGACAGTGGACACGGTCCCACTGACTGATTGAGGTAGTACACAGGCACCGTGTGAAGTTACCTACTCACGTGAGGCTGCACACAGCTGGGCAGGGAAGTCCCGAAATGGCGCTGAGTCTTTACCCGAGCTACCGAGGCAATTGTGATGCTGCGCTGGCTGTTTACACTACCGCGGGCTCATTTGATTTGCATTTTATTCTACAACGTACAACTATGCCTGCAAGCATATATCAGTCGAGCAATAACACAGCTGTTGTTTTCCCACCAAGCCCCAATCTGATTTCAATAAATTTGTTTCGAATGCGCTTGGGGTATTTTGCTTGGGGTATTTTGGGGTATTTTGCGTATAAAACAGAGTTTTACCATGAAGAGGTTATCATACATTCACAATCTTGTAGACAATTCGTAACCGCCCGGTCTTTGTTTTTTTTTTTCGAATCATCAACGGGTGATTAGCCCAGTTATATTATTGGGTTCATCGCATTTGGATCACTGTACTTATGTCCATTATGTTATAAGGAAAGCCTGTTTTGGTTTTAGTTCTACATTTCACAACACTGAGCTACTTGCATTATGGCGGTTCACTCTATTGAAGCCGAATGCAATGCAATAAAAATGAACACTAAGTGCCGGTCTGACATCGATCGGCTCCGTCTGCTGGCCCCAAGTTGTCCCGTGTCACATGCCTAGGGACCATGTCCGAGCCTAGTGCCGGGGAACTACCAGCTGCTAGGGCTCCACTGTGACACTGGGTAGTGGCAGGGGTTGCGCTATCTGCACGGAACCGGTGCTGAAGCTACTGTGTGGCCTCCGTGAGATGAGAGGCAGGAGACAACCGATACGGCGGAAACATCCGCTTCTGGAGCGGTGGTAAAAAGTTAATGTTTTAGAGGCTGTAAATCGTTGGGTTTAGGGCAGACGTCGTTACCGTTAAACATTGTGAAGTTCGCGGAACCAATTTTCTTGGATGACTGTTCGGTAGCTTTGTGAAATTGATCACCTGGAAATGTCGTTATGCTAGGAGCCATCGTGACTTACAGGTGTTCTGTTCAGACCGTTAGTTGTACAATTAACGTGGCTGTACAAAGAGCAATGTTTTTATCGAAAGCTACCAAATAAATGTTCGTCACTCGCGGTCTTTGTCTTCGCTTTTACGATCCACATTCGAGTGGGCTGCCTTACCATTGTCATGTTTCCGCGTCCATCACCTCTGATTGATTACCCCTATTGTGTTGCAGTGTCGCAGTTGTCATAACATTGAATATCAGATAACCTTAGTGCAACATGGCGAAATTAACACATGGCTGTCATATGACTTGTGCAGTGTGCAGTGTGCACTGTACAGTGACGTCGCAATATGGGCATGCGTTCGTCATTTGACCCCTAAAGTCAGTCACGACCTTTGCCGTAAATTTACACCACGTAAAGCCTTCGTCTGCAGAGTTACCATCCAGTCCAACATCATCAGCTGTCTTGCCTGACCTTCACCTTGACCCGAGTGAACCGAGTGCCCTGGACTACCAATACTGACCCCTTGAGTGCCCTAAGTTACCACCGTATCGCCCTGAGTGACCCCTTTGTCTACTGTGTGCCGGCAGGACAACCGTAACTTTGTGCGGAGCCCGCCGTCGGGCGTACAGTTCCAGTTCGACATGGACACCTACATGCCGATGGCGGCGGCCGTGCTCAGAGAGGACCCCGAGCTGGAAAAACGCCGCTACGAGCTGGTGCCAAAGGCGTGAGTGAGACACAGACGTCTAACGTCTTATACAGACACTTCTACTGGATACTTTTCCTTTGTCGTCGTTCAGTCAGGCTAGTTCAAATCATTGCCATCGGAACGACAGGTGGTACCAATAATATGACAAGTTAGAATGCGATGCACCTCAATGCATAATGCATATCATGTTTAAGCCCATAGTCACTTCAATAAAGTGTGTTTCTTCGCGTTCTTACAGCTGTTTTTTAGGGCGCGCCGGCTAGCGGGAACCATTGCTTCATACCCTTGTTCATAGATGGCGCTAGTTGTACTGACGCCTGAATGCAGGCTGTGCCGCAATGACCTACCACGGTAAATCCGCCCGATGTTCGCCCAAACCTGTACAGCATTGCGCAAAGTCGTAGTAACAAATTAGCTTTTTTAGATGACGTTTCATGTTAGGGGGGGGGGGGGCATACCAACACCTGTGACTCTGTGGGTTAGCATTCAGCTCCCCTCCTCTCTGAGAACTTCAACTGTGGCGTCATCCTCTCGGTCCGTCAGACTCGGCCGCCGTTAGCCGACTTACTGGTGCTCAGAAAACACATCACCGTGGTTGCACTTGGCTCTCAGCTACCTTCAGAGCTATCAGCTTCCACCCATCTGCCTGCAGTATATAAATGTTGGCTGTTGTCGACTTCTTTGTTCCAAGCGCCTGGCAACGTGTATGCCAAGTTCGCTTCCTGGGATGAAAAATAGCCACAAAAATAACTCAGTCTAATATGAAATTATTGGTATCCTCTGCAGCCGTCTTATTAGGTTGTTATTTGCGGTGTGGCTGGATTTGATGTCACAAATCAAAATGAGTCTCGCTTATTTCGTCATGTCGTGCCCAGTGATCTATGTTATAAAGCGGCACAAGGTGGCGCCATCGCTCTAAACTACGGTCGTCCCACTGAATCTGAGTCCATCTCTGAGCTGTCTCGCCCGTCTCCATGAGCTCAGAAATCTCGTCTGATGGAGGTCTATGCCATCATTTCCGGGCCGGTTGGCCGCGCTATATGCCGTACCTGGTCACACGGGGTCGCCGAGTGCCGCCGTGACCCGCCCCTGGAAGAGCGACCAGTCCGTGCTCGGCGGTCGCACTCGTCAGGCCCGGATATTGAAGGAGGTGGCCGGTGCCGCGGCGCTGATTGCTCCCTTCTATCTCGGCGTGCCGCGCCCGCCAGTCGCGCCAGATCGGCCGGAGCGCACACCAATCGCCCAGCTCCCCGCACCCGGAAATTGATTCGTCAAACGGAATCACTTCACAAAATGTCGGATTTCCGAGGAAGCGGCTCGGTGGAATAGAGAGTTCAGAGTTAATTTGACGATGTGAGGGCAGAGAGCGCTGAACTAGGAGCGTTCTCCGAATCCGGCCACGTGTTGATGAAGTGGAGTTGGGTGCTGGGTGTCTGGCTCCCGGAATCGTCACGTTCCCTCGGGTGTGTGATGGATACCTCGGCCAGACAGCAAGGTCTCGGAGCCGGGAGACTGCGCTCTTATCGCCTGAAGGTCGGGGGGTGACGGCGGTGGCTGGAAAGCAGACGGTATTGATCAGCACAAATACCTGCCTGAATGGTTGCATAATGTCTTCATGGACCGAAGAAAAAAATCAGAGAACCTACTCAGATAGTTCATGTCACGCTCACCGTTCCGTGCTTCTATCCTCAGGATACTGAAATCCTTCTCCTCCACGCCGCAACCCCCCTCCGGGCTGGACAGGCAACTTTATCTCATGCGGGCTGCTCCCTTGGAGCGGCACCGCTGCTCCCGAGGGAGCGCACCCCGTAACATCACCCCGTAGCCGGGTGCAGTGAGTGCCTTGGGGCTGGGTGGCCTGTCCTCTGGACGTGCTCAGCCCCGGCGACTTACTAGCCCGCGCCCTGGTGGGGTCTGTTTATAACGCGACCTGGTGGGGGGGGGGGGGGGCTATTTTTTGCCCCCCCCCTCGTATCTCCGAAACTACTGGACGGATCCGCAAAATTCAAACGGCGTTCGAAAGGCCTGTCAAATTTGTCGAAGGAAACCAAATTTCATTGACCTCGTGGTCACCGATGACGTCACAGGTCAGGTCAAAGATGAAATGTTTCACCGTTCACGGGTCTTCTAGGGAATGCGCTATAACACCGAGGAAAACGCATTTTGTCGAGAATAAGCGATAGAGCGTCAGTTGCCTAGTAGATATGTTGCTATTAGAGGTCACTGACAATACCAGGTCACGTCACAGGTCAGGTCACCAAGGGTCACAGGTCAGGTCACATGAGCCCAACTTTACTAAGGTTGTGTGATGCATGTTTTATGGCCAATTTTTCATTTCCAGCTCAATGGTGTTGGTTGTAAGACTATCAGGTACGGCTTAGGTCACTTTCTGGTGAAGTTCAGGTCAAGGTCAGGTCAAGGTCAGGCCAAAAAAGGTCAAATTTTAAAGTTGATAGTTTTGCATAAAATGGGTATTGATTCGATGCAGCTCGTCACGGGGAGTCTAATGGTGGTCTTTGTTTTGCGCTACGGGGTCTAGAATTGCTAAAAATTGAGTTTGAAAATTTGACGTAATCAATTTTGAACAGTTTTTTTCGCTATAACTTCGCCAAAAAAAAGAGGTATCAATCTCAAATTTGGTATGTGGATGGAAGGTGGTAAGGACTATCACATATATTCCGGTTTTTGCGAAAATCAAAAAACTTTTTGGATTTTTCGATCATTATATCAAAAAAAAAATATTTTTTGATTTTTGGGGGTCAAATTCCAAAAATTTCAAAAATCCGAGATAGAAGTTTTGTAGCCCTGTCAATTCTACAGCTTTTATGTTCTATCATTTTTCTGTATTTGCAAAGCTATAGGCCTGACAGCTCTTCCCGCGAAACCCTTTTTTGGGTCGAAAACGGCAGAACATGACGTCACTCTGACGTCATTTCCGGCCAACCTATCATAGCCTTTGGAAAAAGTTTTGGTCACCATATGTAAAATTGATGTCCGGGAGGGTACTGAAAGTTTGGTGACGATCGGCGCAGCGGTTCTGGAGATATATCGAAAAGTCTGGAGGGAGGGGGGGGGGCAAAAAATAGCCCCCCCCCCCACCAGGTCGCGGGCTAGGGTGCCTGCCCAGACCAATGTCTCCCCCTATATCCTAACATCCTCCCGGCTCTGAAATGGTCTAATTGGACCGAAAGGGCCTAACCCAACACAAAAAAAAAAATCATGTCACGCTCACCAACAGCTTCAATCGTTGTACGGCAAGAAAAAAAATATTGTCCGTCCTAGATGATGAAACATCAAGCTAGTTAGTTTTCTGATGAATCATGCTTGTTCGAGACCTCAGTATCTGGGTTATGGTCACTCTTTGTGCAACTGCAGGGCCGAATCCGCTACCCAAGCTTGAAACTCGAAGCACCAACTTTTCGTAACGCACTGCTGAAGTTCCCGAGAAGTCATCTGTGACATGTGTCGTGGTGGAAATGTCACCGTTCCACTAAATCCCGAGCACTGATGGCTAGGCGGTCGTTGGGTTGTCTGCGGCCATGCTCTCTCATGAGAAGTCGGTCACCTGTTGTGAGCTAGATGGAGGACGGCGTGGGACCTCATGGTAGCGATGTCAAAAATATCCTGCAACCAATTCCACATTACGGCTCAGAGTCCCGTTTATGCATACCAAAGACACACAAACCGACCGACACGCTTGTGATAACTGGAACGGGCTGACAGAGGTTGGCAGTCGCCCAGAGTGACGCCCACATACACGAGGCGAACAGGCTGACGTCACCACCCAAACACACATACAAATAGCCTGGTGAGTCAGACTGGGCGGTGGCCCCGCCCTCCGCCCTGGATTGATACAGTCATCCCACGACTCTGCCAGGCGGTTTTGGCAGCGGGCTGCGACGATCCCCTGGCGCTCGTCTCGATGCGGTCTCCCCCGTTCGAAAAAGTGGTCTAACTTTGTTGAACATTTATCGACCGTCCTTTTCTCAAAGCCAGCTCATCCTCATCCTCAACCACATTCCCCTGTTCTGAGCTGACGGTCACCCCACTAGACCACCGGTGGAGGGCTGTTCCAAGTGTTGTTTACCTCCGGGGGGACAGTTTGAGCGGCTGCATAACCTATCCCCCGGAGCATTTGTCCTAGATAGTCCCAGCCGCCGCGGTCCACCAATCTGGGGTCGAATGAGGCCGTTGTCTCCCCCGTATCCTCTCATCCCAAGGCCTTGAAACGATCCCTATGGACCCAAAGCGCCCAACCGAACAAACGAACTAAAAACTGCTCGGCGGCGGGACCTCGCGCGGCCCAGCCCCGGCCGAGTTAGGCGGGGTCACTGCCGGCGGCGGCCGCGACACTGATTGATTTTCAGAGGGAGCCGGCCGGCCGGCGGGACACGGGGTGCCGGGTCGGGTCGGGTCGATGGGACGGCGCCGGCCCCCGGTGTCACTGCAACTGACGGAGACACGACACGGCGGAGCGGCTGACGGACGGAGACGCTGCACGAACGATCAGGGACGCTGACTGGGACATGACACACAGAGCAGCAGGACAGGAAAGTGGGGTGGGAGAGACGGGCTCACCAAGGGGGTCAGATCGGGGTGACACGGGACGCCGCCGAAGGATGGGACTACATGTATGTCGGCATGCCTACTGACAGACCACGACACTGGTTGGGGCGGCGACAAAGCACAGGGGTGCCAGAGTGTTGCGGTTGTGATGAGGCCGAGCGGGTGCCGAATCGGCGAGAGACGGACTGTGATCCAAGACCGACACATGTCTGTGAATTCTAACGAACCGGGAGACGCTGCATTGGGATTCACCGTTAAAATTCACCGGCATGTGTCAGTTTCAGCTCGCATGGGGCAGAATCAGACCGGCAAATATAAGCTGGTAACTGGGCGGCCGCCGCCCACAGGCCGGCTCAGTCGGTGTCAATATCCCAGCTCTGTGCTGTCGCCCCGGGAGCTGCTTTGATGTTGGCGTATTTGATCGGGATTAATTAGAGTGTCCGGCGCCAACGCGGCTACCATTTCACACAATGGCTCTGTGATGGTGGAGGGCTACAATTACATGAGCAGTTTGCGGGGGTCCTTGCGGTGTCGAAAAGAAGGGGCTGGAATAGAGCATGAAGGATGAAGTCGTCGGTGTATAAATGTCGACCAAAAGTTAAATTTCTGGAGTATTGGCTCGTTCAAACTTAAATAGCGCTGACAAGTAATGCAAGTTAAGACCACCAGGCTAACCGAAACATCATTGTTGAAGCTGGCTGGGAAGTGCAGTTGCACGTTTACATATTGGTATTATTACGAGCGAGCGAGCGCAGCGAGCGAAGCGAGTCTTTTCAATATAACGGAAAAATCTCAGTATGAGCGGCCCGGCCCGGCCCGGCCCGGCCTGTAACGCTTTTGAGAGGCTTATATCTCAGCAACCGCTGGACCGATTGGCCTGCGGTCTTTTTTTGTTGGGTAGCCCCATCCCTTCTACCCCGTAATTGACTACTTTTGATACATCTCAGTGACCGTCGTGGCACGTGCCACGTGAAATGCCAAGGGTGTTCAAGCAGTTTTGCAAAAGTAGTGATTTTGAGAGGCCCATATCTCAGCAGCCGCTTGGGCGATTGTCTTGCGGTAATTTTTGTACGGTAGCTGCATCCCTTCTACCAATGGTCGGACACTCTTGATCTACAGGGTGTCCCATAAGTTCCTTCTCACCTAAATTTTTCTTTAAGAGGCTCTCTTATTTAAAGCCACGCTTAATTTATTTTGTAACTGAGCTTTTGGGGTTGCCATGGCAACTGTGAATGTGCTCCACGGTAACTAATTCGTCTAGACAAAATATTTTTTGCCAGAGAGTTCACTTCCTTTGGAGACGGCTTCCGCCGCAACATAGAGGTCTCTGATACGGGAACGTCTCGGTATTTAGACCGCACTGGGCCATTCACGACGGTTGAGGGTGATTGAGGCCATCCAGTATGTAGCCAATGTCTGTCGCTAACTGGACGCACAGTCAACAAGTGACGCCGATGATTTGTCGGGAGTCAATCGCTGCAAGTTTATGCTCTTTTTTGTCAGCTTTCACGAGTGAGCCATGTGGCCAAAACTGTGTGGCGCCAAAATGGCCGTCAAAAAGGTCTTAGCGTTAGAAAGTTGGTAAACAGGCTTTTCAGGATGTATTACCAGCTGTCTAAGAGTATCATTTCGGGGTACCTAACTCAAGGTGACTTAAGCTCTACTTACCGGAGGGCTCAAAACAGTCAAAAACGTCTTAAAATGGCCAAACATGTGTTTCGTTATGCCTGAGGCTAAAAAAACTGGAGGGTCGATAACATCAATGTGGTCATCTGGACTACCTAGTCCGTGCTCGAGATAAAACACCCGTCCAAACCCCAAAACGGTCCCATATGGGCGACGGAAAAGGCCTTTGTGTCATCCAGCTTTATTCCTATGCAAAAGGCCAGAGTCACGGTAATGTGGGGTAATATGCGTCCAGACACTGATTACGTTGCGAATGATGCTCCAGAAACAGTCTTGGGACGCAGAATGCTTCTCCAAGAAGATCTAGGAGGAGTTTCAGCTTTCTAGCTTAACCCTATTCCTGGCGGGGGGGCCTCAGGAGCCCCCCCCCCCTGAGGTTTTTTGGTTATTTCTCCCAAACGCGTTGAGCTAGGAAGCTCAAATTTTCTGACTTTTCCTAAAAGGCTTCTACGCAACATGTCTGAAAATTTTGAGTTGATCTGACCTCAGGTCAGGTCACCAGAGGCGGTTTGGTGACCCTACCTCAGAAAAGTTTGCAATCACGCCAGAGCTAGAGTTTTTGACCGATCAATTTCTTCTCTTCAGGGTTTAGTTAGGGTACCAGTATGTGCAATTTGTATATCTCGGAATTTTGATATCGGTGACCTAAGGTCAGGTCAATTTCGCGACCTCCCCATTATAAGTCAATGGGGGAAAAATCAACTCCCTGTTTTTACCACTAAAACGGGTCGGAATGGCCCCATATACCATACATGACTTCATATACGATCAACCTTCACTACCTTGAGGTCTGTTTTGCTGTTGGGCAACTGTGAGGTCATGTGACGTCATCAAAGGTCACCAAAGGTTTTTGGCCAATAACTCCGTACAGGAACAAGATACAGACGCGTGGATGGTCTCATTGTGTTCAGCTCGTCAAGACGCATCGAATGATATACATGATGACCTCGAGGTCACGTGACCTGAGGTCAACCTTTGACCTTGACCTTTCGAGGTCAACATATATATCATTCGATGCGGATTGACGAGAGGATCACGATGATGCCCTTAGTTTGTTCCTATCTTGACTAATTCGAAAGTTATTCGAGAAAAACTCTCTCCATATCTAGCGCCGCCATTTTGACTTTTTCGACCCCTGTGACGTCATCTTTGACCTGACCTGAAAATGACCTTTGTAAAAATTGTAGATCTTGTCCGTGCGTATCCGATGCCGTTTACCGCTTGTCGCTATCTTGCTTCGTTCTCGAGATCTCAGGGGGGGGGCCGAATCGGCCCCCCCCCGCCAGTTTCTTGTCCCGGCGGAGCCCGCCAGGAATAGGGTTAACTTGAACCGCAAGTATGACCACATTTTTTAAGTAGAAAATGGCATCCGGGAGGTCGTAGGCCCATCTTCAAGCAAGACAGTGCATCAGTGCAGAGGTCAAGCAAAGCATAAAAGCAGTGCCAGGAGACTGTGATAGGCGTGTGTGGCAAGATCACATCCCAGGCAACTCATCGGATCCAAATTTCATAAAAATGTGTTGGGAATATTGAAATCGAGGCTCGTCGAAGCGAAGCGGTGTTCCAGCATTGAGGAGCTCACGGCGCATGCCAAGTCAGTCTGGGCTAACTTCAAGCCTGCTATGCTGCCAAACATGCCGGTTGGCATGTCGCAGCATGTATTCATGTGTTTGCCTATGAAATGGGGAGCACATTGAGGGGTTATAAACAAATCAAAACGCAATGTACTATGTTTTACATGCAAATAAAAGGTGAGAACGAACTTTTGGGACACCCTGTATGTGAGTGACCCCCACTGCACGTGCAAAATACAACAATAAGAGGTGTCAAATTTGTTCCCATTTTAATAACTCGGTAATTACTGGGGCGATTTCGCTGAAACTTGGCATGCAGGTAGGCACCCACCAGGCAATGCATTCCCATGTGTTGCGGTTAAGGTGCTACTGCACGTGCGCACGTGCAGGGGGTGTTTCCAGATCTCGAGAACGGCTGGGCCGATTGCGCTCAAATTTGGTACACGGTTGGGGACCAGTTAGTAGGGTGCCGTGCGAAAGTCAGTTTGTACCCCGTTTGCACGTACGCACGTGCAGAATGCCGCTTCCAGATCTCAGGAACGGCTGGGCCGATTGCGTTCAAATTTGGTACACCGTTAGCGACCGGTTAGAAGGGTGCTTTGCGCAAGCCTGTTAGAAGTACCCTCTCGCCCTTCCGCACGTGCAGGGCTCACCATCTCGCTCGCTCGTTCTTCGCCCAAAAGGCGTTTTACTGGTTCTAATTGTTCTACTTTGCTTGTTTATGCAGATGGGCCCAATTAGCTTAATTGCTGTTACAACTTGTTTTATGTTCTGGAAACGTCACGATAAAGGTTACAACAAAAGTCAGAGTTGTTTTCGACTTGTCGCGGATTTTCTTTCCGATCTGCTTCCCATAGTTTCCTGAACGGCTGCCTCTTTCGGTCATTGTTCTGTCGCTGTCTGATCCGTTTTCAGCTGAACGATTTTGTCCCTCTCACCGATTGTGTGCTGTCCTCGTCTGAACGGCTTCCAGTCGATGGCGTTTAGAGTCGCCCTAAATCCCCGACCACCGTTCTGCTGCCTCTCACAGGATCAACGAGGAGACGTTCTGGCGCAACTACTTCTACCGCGTCTCACTGATCCGGCAGTCGTCTGAGCTCAGCTCGCTGGCGCAGGAGGGACACGACTCCAAGGACTCATCACGCACCTCGTCTGTCGAGGCCGCAGAGCCCGCCAAAGGTCAGACTCTCGGCTGGGCGTCCCGTGGGAGTCGGGCCAGTCAGTCAAATTAGCGTTGGCTGCTGCCGCAGACCTGACTCTCCTGTGGGCGACCTGCACCGGTGCGGTAGGCGCGGCCGGAATGGAAGGGCTGTGTTATTAATGGCCGCCGGGTTTCCGTTCAGAGCCCCAATGAACCGGTCGAAGTACGCTGTATGTCATCCACAATGGCCCAATAACGGTGGGTGGGAGCGTGCTCGTCATTTGGCGGAGTAGCGCCGGCCTGCTGATTGTGTTGTGACTTCGTGGTCGAACTGTGCAGAGGATACCAAGTCGGACTTTGGTTTGGCTGTGAACGCGTGTCTTATGGCGACAATTCGTTTTGTTGACCTTTGCGATCAAGGCTAGCAATCATGACTCTTTGATTTTGGGAAGCCAGCGACAAAACCATTTGTTTTAAGTGATACGGAGCCCGTGGACGCTATAAACAGAAACGACTGGTCATTTTACTGCCATTACTCCAAAGCGGTATGTGGCGCTAACTGTTAAAACAGCCGAGGTTCACGGCCCAGCCGCCCGGTCCTTGATACCGACTCGGAGGAGCTCTAGCGGAGCTCGTTAGCTCAGTTTAATCAACGGAAATGAGCGCCGGCGCCGGCGGGAGATGAGCTCCGTCAGGCGCTGTTGCCGCCATTGTCTCACGGGAAGAGACCATCAGAACAGGATGGCGGACGGACCAAGTGGAGGGCGCCCTCAAAGATAAGGAACGGACCTGTACCGTCGGGCTGTCGGCTTAGCTAGGACGGTTAGATGGCGGTGCCTCGAATTTACTGCTTCAGTTTAATGAAATTCCAGTGCTAATTCTATAATTGTGGACCTTCATTATTAATGCATGAGTGGGGCATAGTTCCCACATGTGGCGTGCTTCACAAATGACGCCTTGTTTTGGTTTACCTATTCTAATTTTAATTACCTGATTGTTGAGTGTTTCGGGACAGGGCGCACTGCACGGCGAGCTTTAACATCATATGTGAAAATTCTTCATGTTGATTATTAGGCTTGTCCACTATTGTCTATTGATTGGGCAGGAGGGACGTTGTCTGGTATGTCTTACTTTCCGCACGCGCCTATTGCGGGCAGCACCCTGGGTGGCCCATCAGCCATGGTTTCCCTGACAACGGCTCCTGGCGGGGGTCGGCGAATGTGTCCAGGATACTGAACGGCACACCACAGTCTATAGCAGCTGGCCTAAGCTCCATCCCCCATAGACTATATGCGGCGCCTCACGGAGCTGTTCCTGAACACGTGCCGGTGTCTGTTCTATTATATCTGGCGCTCACTCCACGACAGCTCGTCAACGCGACGGCACGATCCGAACAAAGCCCTGCCGAGGCGCACAGAGTCGCTGGGGGCCTTCATCAGTAGCGGCCGGGCACGACGGTGCTTTAATGGCGGCCCGCCTATTGATTGGTCGAGCTAGTGGCGGCTTCTCGGCGCCCCCTGAGATAAGAGCCGGCCGATGGGAGGTCGTCAAAAGGCCGCGCCAGATGGAGTGCCGATGGCGCCTTATCGCGGTGTCACTGCCAGCGGTAAAAACAGCGGCGGCCACTAGGCGGCGCGCGGTGAATGTAAAAGGTTAGATGTCTACGTTTTTGTATCGTGTTGTCTAAAATGTATTCTATGAAAGGGAGTAGTTATACAGGATGGCCTAAAAGAAATAAGCTTTCAGCCTATAGTTTGAAATTTGTATTTCACAATTTAGGTAGAAAATTGATAGTAATGTTATTCTTCGTCTAATGATTTTTTTTTCAAGAGACGTTTCCTTCATCTTCTGGCATAAGAGCCTCTCTGTTCGACTTTCGCTCAAATCCGTTGATCAATTCCCTTTGGCCCATTTGAAACCCGGCAGCGGAATCTTAACGAAGTGCGCGCCCCACGGTTCTGGTGGGCCGGTCGGTGCCATCGACGGTCGATCTGTGCGGCCCAGTCCGTCTGTCACTCCCTGATAGGGTAACGGGACGGCTCAGCCGCCGGCCTTCGGTCATACGCGGATTGATGGCCCGCTGGCGGTGGCGTCTGGAGCTCCTGGGCCCTCCCAGCTGACTCCTGCACTCTGTCCTACTCGCAGCTGCCTTCTGAACTCTGCACCACCCGTAGTCGATATCTGTCCCTGATCGGACCCTTCACGGCCATCGCCTCATCTCCGTCTACTCCTGAATTAAGTGGTGTCAATCGGAACTTGAATCTTTGGAATTCCGATTCTGTCCAATGTCCATATCGGAATTTGGTTAGACAATGACAGCAGGCTTCGGACAACATTGGACAATCACTTGCTACACACATCAGCACTTAAATAAAGTAATCGTGTGTAGCATTAATTGGGGAATAAAAACGTCAGCTTTTGATACGATAAACTCTTATGAGCTGGTGATAGTACATTAAAAGGAAATTAAATAACAGTGTTGACTGTTGAGTGTTAACTATTGCGTAGGCTTCGGACATCTTTGGACAAATGACTGGCTTGGGCATTTTTGGACGGACAGTCGACGTATGTATTGGACTCTGGACGGACATTGGACATACATTTTCTGAAACTGACACCACCACCACTACCCTCTCCGGCCGGTTACTCTCTCCTACCCTGACCCGTCACAGCCGATTTCTGCCCCCTGCCCTTACCTTCCACAGCCGACTTATGTATGCACTATACCCTGACCCCCTTCAGCCAGTCACTCTCCTCTGCTCGGCCCGACCACTTGCCGCCGGTAGCAACAGTCGCCCTCCTCCCCCTCATCCTCGGCTCCTCCCGCAGAAGGTCGTTACCCAGCCCTCCCCATCCGTCTGTATGGGACGGGTTCTGCTCTTGGGATGGGACTGGTGTTAGACGGACGGCATTGAGTCCGATCACCGCTCCTTTGTGCTTTAGTGATCAGCTGGCAACAGTGGGGTCATTGGCCACTTCCACGACCACGACCCTGAGTTCATTGTGCTGTATTACACCTTTTTGCACTCAAAATAGGCATCTTTTCATTCAATTTCGGCGAATTGCATTCAATTTTAGCGATCTCTCATTTGCTTCGAATAGAGAGATCGCTAAAATTGAATGCAATTCGCCGAAATTGAATGAAAAGATGCCTATTTTGAGTGCAAAAAGGTGTATTCAACAGGTGCCATTAGTTGTCTTGCAGATCTGCTGGTCGTATGGCAAGCTAGTTTAGCGGGTAGGCGTCTTTTTCATCGTGCTGCTGGGAAGCGGAGACGTGCTTTCATTATTCGGACGATTGAGGCAGTTACAGAGGACTGGCGGGCTCACAGAGTTGAGCAGTCTGTCACAAGCGTCACCAGTTTCTGACGGACCAACCGTCACTGACGCCGCCCTCCAACATAGATGCCCGTCACTGGCGCCGCTCTCAAACATAGCTGCCCGTCACTGGCGCCGCTCTCAAACATAGCTGCCCGTCACTGGCGCCGCTCTCAAACATAGCTGCCCGTTACAGACATCGCCTTAGTTCTGACATAGCTGCCCGTCACTGCACTGGCGCCGCCATCGGACATAGCTGCCCTTCACAGACGCCGCCTTTTGACGGAGCGGCCGTTTCTGGCGCCGCCTAACGACACCGCCCACCGGAGGCTATTTTGGCGCGCCGCGGCCAGCCGTTTGTCGATTCAGTTTCGCGGTTGGCTGCAACTTCTGCGCTGAATATGCTAATTTCAGCTCAGACCATTGGTTTCTCGAGTCATATATTTGCATGTAATAACTCGTCTTGGCGTCACAGTTTCGGCTTATGCTCGGCGGTGGTGCATCGCTGACGGCTATTGGCTGAATGTTGTTTTTTTCCACCCTGACAACTTTGAGTTTGGGTATAACAATATTCACGTTCAGGGAAGTTTTCTGGACCGGCTTAAACGTTGAATTGCCTGGTTTGCGTGCTTATTTTTCATGCAATATCAAACCATTCGCTGTTTTCGATGTATCGGCATCATACCTCGATCGCTATAGAAACGCGATGTAAAAATACATTCCATAGCTTGGCAGCTCAGAGGGCCAGGATTCGGATATCGCTAGTTTGACTCATGGTAGTTTCAGTCTTGTCGAGAGCATCAGATTCACCGCTTTTCACGTGGTTACGAAGACCTGGGAATCAGAAAGAACACACGTAACCACCGTTCGAGAATGGTAGATCTTAGCAAAAGTGACAGCAAGGGGCGAGTGGGGCGGTGGGCGACGGGTCGGTCAATGGAAGACGAGTGGGTCGGCTAGTGTGGGCGGATGGGTTGGCCAGTGTGGGTGTGCCGAAGCTAGCATGGGTAAAAACACGCCGGGCGGCGACTGGCCGCCCTTGTTCCCAACAGATTGGGTTAGTAAGGGAAAGGTCAGCCCGGGTGGACGACGCGCCGGGCGAGGCCGGTTCGCCCGATAGCATCGGTAGAAGACTGGGCAAGTGTTTGTTTTGGTGCCCAGTCCTTCCGTCCGGTCGGTGTACGGGCGACGTGAGCTGGTGACAATCAATTACAATAGCATGGAAAACTAATGACGCTGCACTGCGAGCTAGGGAAGTGATCGAGAGTATGTTATTTTTGGAAACAAACCGTTTGGAGACGATATGTAGAGTGGACGTGAGACATGTGATTGTTCTTTTGCTGATGTCCCAGTAATCATTCGCCCCTTCGTTAGTGCCCTCCGACAATATTAGCTCTTTCATCTGCGTCCTCGGAACGAGTCCTCCCATCCTCTCTTCCCGCGAAGTAACATCCTCCCCAGTGCCCTTAGAACGATTCCCCCGTCCTCCACCCACACACGTTCCCCGTGTCATCAGAAGAGACCCCTATTCTCTGCTCACGGAGTAACAGCCGACCTCTATGTCCTCAGAATGAGTTCTCCTGTCCTGTGCCCACGGAGTAACACCCACCCCATGTGTCCTCAGACTGAATCCTCCCTTCCCTACCCACCACTAACGACTACCCCTGTGTCCTCAGACTGAATCCTCCCTTCCCTACCCACCGACTAACGACTACCCCTGTGTCCTCAGACGGAATCCTCCCTTCCCTACCCACCGACTAACGCCCACCCCTGTGTCTTCAGAGTGAATCCTCCCCTTCCTTGCCCACCGACTAACGCCTACCCCTGTGTCCTCAGAGACTCGTGAGGAGGAGGAGGCGGCCGAGCGGCCCGACAGTCCTCACGAGTTCGTCTCGGACAGCATACAGCCGAGCTCGCAGGACCTGGAGGAGGTCCGCGCCGGCATCCGACAGCTGGGCATGAATAAAAAAGGTGCGCCGCCGCCGCCGCCGCCCGCTGCGCCCTGAACAGGGACGCGTCGTATGACCGGGCAGGGTGGTGGAGCAGGAGGGGTGTGGGCGTAACGTATAGGGTGGGGTACGTGGTAGGATCGTTGGTAGGAGGAAGGGGCTCGTATCATTTTGTGATCAGTTTTTAACACTTATTTTCTTTGCTTTCAGTCTCAAATAGTTTGTCACAGACCTTCTGTTTTAGGTTGCAGTCGGGCTAGATACGCGAATTATGTGATAGATGCAATACCTATAACCAAAGAGCAGGGTTCCACTCACGTTTATTGTTAGCGTGATGCTTGTGGTCCAATGACTGTGTATAGTCCTTAGGTGACTTGGTCAAGGTCAAGTTTTGTAAAAGTAACATACAGTTACCTGTACTCGTTAAAATTTTATTAATTTAACGTTAAATTAGACTTTAGAGTATATGAGGCTGCTGGAAAATGGACAAGCAAAAACTGTAACCGTAATTATAGCTCGGTGAGTATACCTAGGCACAAGGGTCATGTAGTTATTCTATAACATTCCGTCTTAAGGATTCCTTTTCCTTCGTTTTTCGTTTTATTTCTTTGTTTTCAATCTCTGGGTTTCACTAAACGTATTTCTTCACCGTTTTTATCCCTGTAGATGTTTCGTAGAGTGTAGTGTTTTGTTGATTTGCTGGCTACTGGCAGTAAAAGTCGCAGGCACCACAACGGCACTCACACATGCCCATATCCTTCTTTCAGTTTCATTTTCCTTGACGCACTCCTAGCTGAACCCTGCGAGAGCGGTTTTGATTCGTCTGTGTGCATTGTGAATAAACATTTTGCTAAAAATACCTTGTTTGCCATGAAAGCAGCTTACAATAATCTTCATTTGCTTCCTGCATTAACAACAGAGCTTCTCCAATCATCATGTTGGCAGAAATTCAGCTGGTTCATCCATTTTGAGGAGCATATGCTTTGGAGCGGCCTGCCGCCGGGTGCTGCAGTTGCGCGTCTGTCCGTTGGGCGGCGCTGCCGTCGCCGTGTTTCGGCGGCAGCCCGCCGGGCGGCGCTGCTGTGCTGAGACTGCGCTGGTCTGTTTCAGCGTCGGCCGCCCGCTAGAGCGCCAGCCGGCCGCCGGCACACGCCCCTCTCCCGCCCGCCGCCTCCGCCTCTCTGTCTGTCTTCACCCCTATCTATCTATCTGCCTGTCTGTCTCTCTGTTTCCGTGTGCGTGCGTTGTGGTGCATGCGCCTGCTAGCTAGCCAGTCGGTCGGTGGGTAGCGCGTGCAGCGAGGCGTGCGGCCGGTGGTCAGAGCGCGCCATGTGCCCTCTCTGTCGGCCAGATGAGGACTGGGAGCGAGAGCTGAACGCCGAGCTGGGCGAGTACGAGCTCGTCCAGGAAGACAGCAACGGTGACTGGGAGAAGGACATTGAGCAGATGCTGGAGGACGAGGAGCCGGAGGCGGACCTCAAGTGATCCCGCCGCCGGCCACTGTCGTCCTCGCTCGCTGCCGCGCGCTCCGGCGGCCGGCCCGCCGCCACTGCCGTCGCTTGTGCCGCCGCCGCCGCCGCCCGCACGCCGCCTGTCACCCTGCCTCCCTCCCCCTCCCCCGTCGCTCCGTCTCGCTGTAGCAGGTAGCTAGCAGCATGCCCGTCCCGCTTGGCTCCTGTCTCACCGCACCTGTTGGAGAGCCGCACTCTGCGGCAGAGGCGGCGCGCCACAGCCAGAAGCGGCGCACCTGCAGGCTTTCGGGCGCCAGCTAATGAAGCATTCCTCCAGGGCGGCCGCCGCCGGGAGGCCGCGAGTCGGTAACGTGGGCACTCCGCGGCCAGCGCGGCCGCGCGGACAATGTGTTTACCAGGATTTATCGATATATCACTGTGTACTTGTGTATGGCCGGGGCACCTGTGTGCAGACTGTTGATGTTTTGTAGTGAGTTGCTGCGCGCCGCTGTATTTATCGAGGGCGCTCGGTGCGTCGTTTCAGTGTTTTTCTCGCCGTGCGTGTGTGAATGTTTGATGTTCTATCCCCGGGTAGGGCGACCCCGGGAGACGACCGCGGAGCCGTCCGCGGCCGGATCGCTGAGACGCATTACACGCCAGAAGGGGAACTATAGACACTGTTTGGTGGCCGGAGGGGTGGAGAACGAGTGAGTCGAGAGCTAAGACACGTGATAATTATTTGAGAAGAGCGGATGTTGTACACCATCTATTCATCCCGTATCGCTCACGATCACAGACAAGTCTTTACATGATCTTCGATGCCTGAGATACGACAAAAATCGTAAAATTTCCTAATCAAATCATAAAATGTTCAGGACAAGTCTGCTGGCCGACTGGCTCTGAGGTACAGGTCAGTAGCTTCCTTCGAGTCGAGCTCAGTGGCAAGTTTCAAACAAAACGCACCCCATATATAAGAACTCTGGCACTCTGAGACGGCGCGGGCGCCGCACGGCCCGGTCCGTCAGCGGCGGCCGTCCCCAGTCACACATCACAGTATAGTTCGGGCACGCGGCGGCCGGTCGGCGCCGATACCCGTGACGCCGTCTGGTCCCTAAATGCGACTAGTTTGCCATTAGGAGGCGGCTTTCAGCGCCCGCTGCTCACGGTGGTACCTGAAACAGGCCGGGAGGTGGGTCAACGTTCTAACGCGCAGTGGCCGCAATCTGGCTTTCAAAAGCATAATTTGGACTGCTGAAGAAACTGGGAATTACATGCAGATAACGATTGCAAAGTGAAGTTAACTTACTTGAAAATTTTCCCTAGCTGGAAAAGGCCCGTGGCTGCCACAAAGATGTTCACGCTGAACAGACTGTAGTTCTTCGGTTTAATGACCATGGAATATCTGAAAAAGAAGAAACAAATGTGCTACAGAATTATGAAAATATGTGTAACTTAGCAGTGCGCATTTAATATCGAAAGTCCCGTCTCATTACAAACACGAGTATCCACTAGGCAGTCGCACAGCTGAGAGCTACAAGTCGGCGCCTCAAAACCGAGTGCACGTATCCGACGGAGCGACGACACAGCCGCAGCAGCCGTCATTCAAATGGAAATTCACGGGCCTAATTGGGACATACAGCTGTGGCTACATTCAAGGGAAACGGAAAATAACACAAAGTGTAGTACACAATACGTCTATAGACAATGAAACACAAATAACATGTGTCCTTGCGTGATGCGGCAGATAGTGTGGCACATGCCAAGGGTTCTCTTATGACTTATCACCGCTCGTGCTGTTTTGGACAAGTCGTGAAAGCCACACGCCGTGAAGTTCACGTTTCGCAACAGTGTGGTACACCGTGACCTGCGTGACCTCTGCTCTGCACAGGTCCAGTATCAGTAGGCAGTTATACCGGGGTAGCCAGTCAGGTGACCTGTGCACGCTTACGAAACTTCACCGATTTCTGTCTGCCAACGACCACACAAATACCACAGACCGAATTTCCAGGTCACATCCTTATCGACTCCAACAGTTCACCAATGCAACTGAGCATGACTACAGCCGTCACTCATCTTTCCATCTTTAAGGTCAATGACCAGACGCCAGACGGGCCCGCACCAGACATTCGTCAATGAGCCGTGGTTAGCAACGACCCCCCTCCCCCCATACAAATACGGCAGTTGTTCTGTGTGGCTGTATGCTGGCGTCTCACCTGGACCAGATGAGGCCTGTGGCGGCCAGCGCGCCGGCCTGACCCACGCTCAGCTTCTCCGCCGGTCGGTTCACATCGCCCAGGCCGGCAATCACCAGACACTGCGCCGAGAGCGGCGGCACGGTCACACCGGGCAGGGGAAGCGCGGGAGGTGAACGGGCACCGGTCACATCGGCTCGAACGGACTAGGGGTGACTGAAACTGGCTACATTCTCAGAACGGCAAGGTTCATATAGAATTGTCTCAGTATTGACGCGATAGCAGATATAAACGTTAAATTATTGTTATACGAGTTTCGAAAAGTTGATCGACGGGCTCAAAAGCCCACAAAGAGTAAATATTGCAATGGATGATGCCTCTTGGAAGATGTGTGAAGACCGAATACGTTTGCAGTAAATCAAAACGCCTTCTACGAGCACTTACCCATTTGAAAGCAGGAGCCCAGAAGAACACAGTTTTGGGACCTGAAAAGTGGATTGGGAAAGTGAGATACCGAAAAAATGAAAACGCCAACTATTCCCTCTGTTTACCTATTATCGTTGTAAGACATCCCCACAAGATTAGTGTAATTCATAAGACTTTAATTCGGATACCAACAAAAAAGTGGTTGACACAATATAACATGCCAAGTGAACAAGTGAGCACCGAAACACTTTACCGACAACACTTTCGGCCGGCGTACTATAACGGTAATGACTGGCATGTGTACGTCCGTAACACCTGTACCACCGACAGGTGCCGCCTGTATCGGTGTCACAGGTGGTCGTACCCGGGTACGGCCTCCAGGCGCGGTCTAAGCCCCGGTGACATCCGCACCGTGACATGCTGAACCGTCTACGCTGATCGGCGATATTAGCAAAGTAATCTTGGCTCGGCAATACTCACCGGCCGGGTGTTCCCACAGCGGCCGTAGCTTGTTCGGAACGTATACGTCGGCCGCCCGAACCACACTGCGGTAGGCGGCGGAGAGCACCATGGTTGGGCTGTCTCACACAGCTGTCAGAAGACACAAAACAGGTTAATGTATGGTGCATAATGACTGAGTCATTGCTGATTGACACTGTTGCAGAACAGGAGACAGAGCAGGTCATATCTTCCCTCAATAGTCAATATACAGTACACTGGGTCAGACCAGGGGTGCATTGTGATTCTACGCTGGCTGAAAAACACCAAACATCTGCTAGAAAGGAGGCAAGTGGGTTTGGGGTGCATGATGCTGCTGTGGCATGCAGTTTTGTGCAGGGACAGTCAGAAGGATTGCCAGAATGGGTACTGGCTGAAAAAGCAAATGTCACTTGCCAGCACATTTTGTTTTTGTGCTAGAGATCACGATACATCAAAGAAAAGATCAACAATGTAACAATCAAACCTTGCTTTTCATGGAGTATTGTATTCAAAAAAGTTTTTTTTGTATAAAACAAAACTCAACTGAAAGTAAAGTGGAACAAAATGAGGCAACTCTTCTCACCCAAACAAATCATAGGATGTTGAGATTTGAGAATGAAAGGTGGGTGAGGAGCAAGAAAAAAACGCATTTTTCTGTCTTAGCCAAGATTCTTACGAAGTCTTAGCAAGTAGCAACACAGGCAATGCATTCATTACGGTGTCCATGAGGAATTACCATGAATTATTTAGAAGCATCCATATGTGTCAATGATGTGAGTGGTTGGTGTTAGGCAGCCTTGTACACCCAAATCTGTCAGCTGCCAAATAGTTCTTTATTGTACAAAATACTTGCTTTTTTCTATGCACAACACTTTTACTTTGATTTGAACTTGAAGCTCAAAATGTGGAATTAATGGGAAAATAATGTATTCTGATTGATTGTGGCATTTGATATTTTGGACTCATGACAGGGTTGATCTACAGTTGGTGGGAACAGCTGCAGCCAGTTGAAGTCAATTAAGTGGGACAGGCTGCATCTCAATCTGGCTTTGAATGGCTGGAATCTAAATTATCCCTTTACCCAGAAACCAGAATCATATGATCAGACGGTAGGCATCGGGGCTCAGGGTCTACGCAACAAGCTCTGCGTAGCATGGGCTCTGGCTCTGTCAATCCATCTATTCAAACATTCGAGCTAAGTTTAATTGAAAAACTGCAGTGACACCATATGACATTGGGATTAATCAAACACCAACATGTAACTAGATAAACCAAACCTTAAATTACAGGCTGGAAAATAGAACTTGGAAGTCTTTGGAAACTACAGCTAAATAGAGCTTATGATTTGGAACCACCTGTAAACAAAAAAAGGCCGAATGAAACACTCAACAGTATGGTGAAGTATATAGGGCCTTGCACTCAACTCAACACTGGTCAGCAATAGGTTCTTCAGAGGGTTCTACGATATTCACAATGAAATTAATTGCTTTTCTGTTTCATCATCATACAAGTACATTTGGAAGATGACGAATTCATAAAAATAAAACAAAGCGAGGAAACTCACCTCGACCTTTATTTAAATAAAAATATAATTTTCCCCGCTAAGCTCTGTTGTTGTTGTTGAAGAGTTAGGGCCTGCTAAGCTCTAGATCGTCGAAACGTCGAAAGACCGCACCGCTTTTGCAACATCAGCGCCATTAAAGTTTCTATCAGCTGATGATGTGAGCATTCATTTTCACTGCTATTTCACTGCCTATTTCACTGCTAATCCTGCAATTATCGTATCATTCAAGAACTACCAAGTCGATAGGTTCGAAAATGGCACCACTTAATTTGCTTTTTTCTAATTGCACAAAATATGACTAACTTGAGTGACCTTGAAAAGGTCATCTTCAAATTGCACTTGACGTCAACGTAACAACGTAACAAAGCGACCACCCGACTGACAAGGGACGAAACAACAGCACCAAACGATTCGCCATAGGTATATATGTAATGCCGCCGGCCCGCCACCCGTCTCAATTCTTTTTCGCTAGCCGCATCGAGCGGTTAAATTCGGGTCGGTGACCTCGGCATTGGACTGGTGGATCTGGAAAGGGCTTTGAGACGCTGCGGGCGGCTTTCGTAGGTACCTACTTTCCGTGCTCCAATGGGAGACGTCCCGGCCAGGGCCTACTACCACTGCTCCTGCTCCTGGAGTATAGTAGTAATCCGGAGGGGCGGTCGTTAACGAAGGGCCTACACGACCGGCCGAAGCCCCCTCACACTCCCTCCTGGTTTGCTGTGTAACATAATGCATTTTTTTCAGCCAAATTTGTTCAGTTTTCTTTCTATGCGAGGAAATCTTCGAGACTTTGTCAATAGGTATCGGACAGGCTAATTCAGCGTACCTATCTATTCTCTTATTGCGGCCATTGCCCATTGGCCATTACCTACCCATCTTCAGCAACTATGAGAATGAATACCTACTGATCGAGACGGAAAAAGCACAGCCCGATTCGCCATATGCGATTTTGCGTAGGTAACATAACGACTTTAACGAGGATGGTGACATAAGTGACCTTAATGGCCTTGAAAAGTCAGCTTGATGTTTTTGCCCATCGCAATATTCTTCAACTACGGCCTGGTATGTACCGGGCCGATCGAAGTACATAAAAACGTCGCTATTCGATCCACCGTACCTATACCTACGATTTCATCAGCCGTTTCAAATTTGATGACTTGGGTGACCTTGGTGACCTCATAGGCGTTCATCGAAAACATGATGCCGCTTCTGTTGTAATATATCAAGGTAGGGGAAGCCAGGGGAAGCCCGGGCGCGGGGGAAGCTCGGCCACCCCGTTTCCGGCTAAATTATTCACAATCAAATGCTCAACTGTTTGTCCTTTCAGCGTGGCAGCTAAGGTAACGCCAGCAAAAAAGTTAAGGCTGACAAAAATTGCATATTGTTAAAGTTATAGCGCAAAAATGATATTTTAAGGGTTTTTAGCAAAAAAGTGAGATATGTTGCACTGTTAATGTTATACCATACAGTACTAATATTTATACGAATGTTATGTAAGGACCGTTTAAGTGTTTGTAATGAGGGGTGACGAGGCAGGCTGGCTTAAGTATGACATTTTTTCGAATATCGCTGTTCTAAAATAAAAATTAGCACTTTGGGGTAACCCCGGGCGAGTGGCCAAGCTTACCCCCAACCGAGAGCAATGCCACTAAACCACTGTTTTCCATGAGATAATAGGTACTGAGCAGGTTTGGTTTACACCTAGATCAAAGATAAATTTCGAAAATAAACATGTTATCAAAGACAAAGCCAGTCATGTCACTTAAGGTCAACTAGGGTCAAACTACGTTTTTGCAGATAACGCGACAGACAATGAAGCTAGAGCTTCAAAAATGGTGTCGTTGTGTTCTTCTTCATCAGCCGAGTCGAATGATATGCAATATGATGCATTAAGGTAAAAAGAAAAATAAATTTTAAGGAATTTTGAAATACACATTTTTTGTCAATTTTGCATGACGATTTTCATCGACCTGTACTGTATATGTAGTAGACGCTAGCTAAAATACCAGTAGTGACATAAACTCTAAGATGTCCAGAGCTAATCAGTACCTTAATATTTCACTTTCCGTTAATATTTGGAAAGCACATAATGGTTTCATCAACTCGCTGTAAAGCGCTGGGGAGGTGGCCGGCGTTACCCCTATGCCGGGCTTACCCCAGAAAAATCAACACTTTTTTAAAACTCGATTTTCTCAACCTTATACTTATTCCACGAAACCGAATTTTTGGGAAAACACGGCCACTGAACTTAGCTAGCTAGCAGGATATCAACATTTTATACAGCACGTATGGTATGTAATAAAAATGAAAAAGAGCTTACTATGCCGGGCTTCCCCCGGCTTCCCCTATAGATTAAATTTACAAAAATGTAATTGTCGAAAAGTTCAAAGAGGTCAAAAAAGTTTAAAAAGACTTAGTTCATCAAGGTATGCCTAGCCTACTGCCTACTGGCAACTTAGCCATGGCAACACGTTCAACACTTTTGGATTTATCGTAAAGATCATGACCATTTAGCAATGGAGTGGACAGTGGGGTCGGGGTGGAATCTTTCCTCATCCCAGTCGGGCGCATGCCGAGGCCAGCTAGTTTCTTAGGTAAGGTGCTGCATATTGCATGCATCCCTATGAATATTGACAGAGATCTACACTCTGCATACGGGTGTGCGCGGATTTTAAGCTCGAATCCAGGCTCTGTCATATCATACCGTATTATACCAAATGTAATGCCGTTAAGACATGACCCATACTCCGACACGAACTGGCCGTGGTCCCGCACGAGCTGTCGTCGCTCATGACAGTCGGCCCCAGCCCCGCTCAAGGCCAGGTCGGCCCGGGACATGCGCCGCGCGCGGCCTCGGCGACCGGTTGCCACACGGCACTGTTGTCCGTGCTGGGTCATTGTACCGTGCGCCGACCACGGCCGGCCCGCGTGACCCGCTCAAGGACACCCAGACCCGCGGCGCGGCTGAGTGCAGAGTGCACACTCACGCCACGGCACAACAGTGGCCGTTACATCTGAAAGAACAGGCGCGGGGAACGGTCATTCAGAGGATAGATATCATTATTGCCGACGTTTCGTATGGTAAAGATTGTGAAAAATAATTAAATAAATGCATAAATGTGCATTTTTACTGAACCGGCGCCCGAGTGCGCGTATGGGCAACTCTGTAAGCGAGTGCATGCAAACGAGTGTTTACTTTCAGAGATCTTGGCCATTTTTTGCCCAGGACTGGACAACAGAGGCAATAAAAGTTTACATTTTCCGGATTTCAACATTGTCCGAGGCATAGGTAGTAGGTACTCGGTACCTAAGCTGTCGCAGAAAAGTGCAACCGATGGCTCAACAAAGCCATTTCTCTAAGTTGTCCTCGAATCGCGACCATATGGCTCAGAGGACGAAATCCGTTGAATTACCTTATTGCTGTTCTGAGAGTGAAAGTCGAAGGAGACCAATAAGATAGCCGCAATTTATGCCACTGGCGTAAATCTGCACTTGTTAGTTGTTATACAAAATTAATTTTATCTTACCATATATGGGAGAATTGTATAGTGTGCTTTTATCAAAAGTTGGATAAAAATAGGCATTTTTATATTTAGCTTTTTAGGACGTGTACCTAACATGTTTAGGTATTTGTCGGTACTCCGTGCAAATAAACGAATGAAATGTGCAAAAACTAGCATCCAATTCGAAAGCCGGACCTTTTAGTCGTCGACAAACTTGTTCTCCCAACACTGGAAGCACAAGACAGATGGCTTAAAGGGACCCTCCCACCTTCAAAAAAGTTAATGAATTGGCATGAAAGTGATGTCGCTCGGTTCAGAAAGAGCAAAAAACGAATATCTACCAAATTTCATCGAAAAATATTCACCGGTTTTCAAGATATTAGAGTCTTAGACTTTTACTTTTGTTTACTTTTTGGGATCTCCGCTGTTCCTAGCGACTTTATTTGAAAGTGCGGCATTTGTTGCGCGCAAAGCAGCATATTCCACCGCGTGCTACAAAACGTTTTAGTCAAACATTTAACGGACGTTCGAAAGCCTGATGACGTCATCAGATTCCCGTAATGGTTAAGAGATATGGACCACGCTGGTCCCACCCTGCAAGTAAAGGGAAGAAATTTCTTGAACACCATAAAGCTGCGGGGGTTGCGACCAGGATAACTGGTGGTTTCTGAGCCTGGCCGCAAACTTGGCTATCTCAACTCAAAACTAATGCTAAGGTGGGAGGGTCCCTTTAAGCTGAGTTGCGCCCTTTAGCTTGGGAGAGCCTGATAGGACGCACCGCGACGTATCGCAAGAGTGGGGGCTCCGCCAGAACGCTTCGGTGTAGTAGAACCGAATAATATCGGCTAACTTCTGCAATGTATTTCGTCTTTCACGTTGATTGTGTCGTATTTTGTGTCTTTAGTGTCTGATGTAGTGCATTGTGTCACATTAGCCGTTTTCACGACAGGGTATGCGGCGAATGCACCTAATTTGACCAAACCTGCACCTGATCTCTTTTACAGCAAATAGGTATCTTCATTTTATGAATTCATTTCAGTGTTTTAATCGATGATACTCTGATAATATGGCAAAGGAGGCATATAAGCAATAAGTGCAGCCCTAGCTGATAGCTTCTAAGAGATACACTCAAAACTAATTTGACCAAATCTGCACCTAATCTGCACCAAATGTGCACCAAATGTGCACCAAATGTGTACCAGATTGCCGTCGTGAAAACGGCTATTGCGTGTGTACGTGGAGACGTGTGATCTTTGAGAAAGGGGGACGTGTAGTTTATGTTACGGGCGGCTGTGACCGCCCGTTGTGGCATGCCTGGCGCCGCCCGTGGCGCCTCCCCGGCTGGCCGCGCTCGGCGCCGCCCCTGCCGCGTGGCCCTCGGGCGGGGTCGAGGGCTGGCGCTGGCTGGGCGGTCGGCGGCCCGGGAGAGGCAGGGAGACCGTGGTTACGAGCGGTTGGCTCTGTGGTTCTTGTTTGGGCCTCTGCCGATAATACAGTAAAGCATCGAGTCTGAGTGTGTTCAGCTCCCGCAACATTTGGCGCGGTCGGTAGGACTGCAGAAGACGACAAAGGGTGAGTTCATTAATTTCATTTGATGATATTTATT